TTTCAGGAAGTAAAAACATTAGCTATAATTCTACAAAGCAGCACGTTACTACCTTTGTTTGCGACTTTATTCTGGCTCTTGAGGGTTTTTTCATAAGGAAATTTTGAGATTAGCAGTGAACTTTGTAGCCCTTCCAGTAGCTGGACAGAAACATTGGCCAACAAAACAAGCAATGAGAGATGTGTCACAAGCTTAATTGATAAATATTCAGCTTACATTCGCCCACGAAACACAATATTGAAATGAAAAGGGAAGGAAAAAGGAGGGATGCCTATACATATGGTAAATTATGCGGTGGAAAAAGGAGTGAAAGCAATATATTAATAATTAATAAGTAAAACGCCGAACAACTGAGGGTTAGGACAACATGTGTCTATGCAGGCAATTCTGTTAAGGCGAAACTCAACCCCATAAAATGCAACCACATGGTTCATTTTGCATTTTACAACAGTTAGTCATAAAACAATAACACTAGCAATACACTGACTTGCACAAACGTAAATAATCGGATATAATCACTCATAACTGTTCATTAATAACTCATTTGTTTTACTTTTCTTGTTTTCTCTATGTAAGCCTCCATCAGGGTACTTCCACTAAGACCGAATCTAGCAATAAATCTTGTCAGGAAATCGACAGTGTACTAGGATGGCCCCAAACTCACGATAAGGTCACAAAAAGTGAAAGACAACGGAATAATTATCTTGTCCCAGAGTTGAAACTAGAATCTAATGAAAGTAGTCAAGATCCCCAAATGCCTCCGAAGAACCCAAGTTTAATGTTTAATTGAATGATGCAGTTAAGCATTCATAACGCCAGGATAAAATGAGATTCAATCCATACCTCTACTTTTTGAATGGTAGTCATATATAAAGCAAAATGAACAGCGATGTTAGTTTAGGGAGCAATGAACTCCCTGACTTCTGTCTAGACTCCTAAGCTATTAGCATCCAAAGTACGTTACAAAGCACACAATCAGAAAGCATTACTGGTAACTGACCTACACTCTTTAACATTTACAGTTTCAACAAGTGCAAAAGGTAGTAGGACCAAGCTTCACAGTAAATAGCAAGTCATTGCCAAATCGGTATTCAACTTACATAACAAATGCTTAGCAAACATAATTTCAAATACGTATTTTGTCTTTAAGATTAATTTCAAAAGTTCATTTAAATTGCCAAATGTCTACCAACAATCACAGGGATACAACCTATTACATGTTCGCATGATGTAGATTAGCAGGACTTTTAGCAACAGATTAACTTATAATGCTTATATTCTACGCACAAGTAACCTATTTCGTGAACAATGCATGTAGCCTCATGTCTTACAAAAACAAGTCATTAATAAATAGTAAGCTATTATTTTTTGCAGGACTTTATGTTTCTTTAAAAAGCAACATTCAATTTATTATAGCTATTTAATGATTAATGCAGTTTGTTGAGTTCATAATAAATACAAAAAATATGTAAACTTGGTATGATTCAATAACACTACACATACATAGTAATTTTTTGTTTCTTGTCATTGTATAATAGTGATATATAATAATGACTGAAATTTATAGTTACACTGATGGAAAAAAAAAAAAAAAAAAATAATGACTGAAATTTATTCGCAATTGACTTATACTTGTTAATTTCAAATATGATAACTAGTGCCAGCCTATATGATACACATTATTTGGAAACTTATGGTGCTTATACTAAAATAGTTTCAGATTTTGGCAAATTGGATCTTTCAGATTACTCAAATAGTTTCATAATTATACATTCACATAATTTCCCTAGACGCAATTAATAACAATTTTGAAATGTTTTGGAAAATCAGATTTCTATATTGCTATTTTAGAATTTAGATAGGACACTTCTATTGTTGCTGATAACTTCTAGCAGTTAAAGGTACAATTGTAGTTAGATCTAAATTAGTAAATTATACTGCTAGCTAATATCTATTAATTACAATGATTGTGTTGAAAAAAATTACAAATCTATTAAGTAAAAATGGAAATCTTACATCATTGCAACTCTGGTCAACTTTATTTTTTCTAAGTGTATAGGTTCTGAATATGAGGTAGTTCAAATTTTATCTGATGCAGATTACATATTCACTTAATATGAGAAAATTAACATCTTATTTTTTCTGAAATTCAAATACAATACTAATGAAAATCTAAAACTCAGATTTGGATGAAATATCACATAATTTCTTCATCATCACCATCACTGTAAAGAGAATAATGTTTTCATTTTCTGAAATCTAAAAAGTTATACTAGATATAGTATTTCTGCAAAATCTACATTATTACAAGAATTATTATTTACAGAATTCTTCACTATTATATTTGTATCAATATCTCACAGAGCAAACTCATCCATGCCCCCCTACTGCCATCCTTTCTCAATATCAATTTCATATTGAAATTATTAATTAAAACTCGATGCATTGAGTAGAAAAACAAGTCCGGTAATTACTTCAGACAACAGAAATGATCTCACACACACATATATATTATAATAAATCACAAGCCAAAGAAACCACCTATAAACAGAAAGACTCATTGTTTCCAGCCACTTACCAGTTTCAAGTGAATAAAAACATCGCAACTCAATATGTGAAACAAATCAACAGAAGGGGCATGGCTGAAAGGAAAAGATTAGAGTTAAGGGAAAAGGATCAATATACCCTTGAAGTTGGCTGAATACGACGAACTGATCGACGGGGTTCAGAAACTTCAGGGATTAAATTTACGTTCGATTCATTGTCTGCTGATCTCTCGCTAGCAAGCGCGGGCCTCCCTCGGTGTAGCCGATCAAATCTGGAATCCCTTCTTGCTGTTTTCTTGCGATTATCTTTTGTACGAGCTTGAGAAGTAAACACAATAGAGCCAGCAGAGGCCCCTCCAACTTTTGTGGATGAATTAAGTTCACCAGAATTTCTCTCACCTGATTCGTTATCATTGCTGCTAACAGAGCCCTTCCCAGTACCCAATCCACGAGTACTGCGTGCATTAGGTTGCGATGAGGTTGAGTCATCTTTCTGCACTGAAGTCCTACTTGGGACACTTGGCGGCCTTCCGGACTTGATAGATCTCGGTCTAGACTCAGGAGCTTGTTTGTCCTTGAGATCAGACTTGGAGTTATGCTTGAAGCCTCTAGGCCCAGATCCCGCAGGAGCCAAAGGTTGAGATAATTTCATCGAGTCATCAGACACATTAGTTTTGGCAACCCTGTCAGAAGTGTAGTGCTTGCTGACTTCCATGAACTTTCTCTTCTTGCCAGGCTTAGGGACACCAAATACAACCCTCGATCCTGGTTGCTTTTCTACACCAGGCCTCTTTGTCCTCACCATGTTGGGCTTATTTTCCTCCGATTTTGTACTGCCAATACTAAAAAGTTTCTCATTCGCAGACAAAGGCAGTCTTGATACTTCATTTCTCTGAGGTTCAGCAAAATCAGTACTTTCGGCCACTTTGGTCTTTCCTTTTGCTTCAATACTGCTGCCTCCCAATTTTGGACGCTTTTCTGCTGGTGAATCTCCCTGTAAAGGAGAGAGAAGTAGGACTCAGTTAGAGGTTGAAACAGAAACAAACAAAAGCACTACTTCACCAATACAAAATATGGACATCGGCAAACATATGTAACCTGAGAAGCGGGACCCAGCCCTGCTCTATGCCACTCTGTCCATTGGCCATCACCCCAAATTAAGGTTGGCCGAAGATCCCAAACCTTGACAGTTGATGAATCCCCTTGCTCTGCCAAACCCATAAAGGCATTTAACATAGAAATCACACATGAAAAAGAACTGAAGACAAGGGGGTCACATCTGTATTCTGTAACAAATACCTGGAAAATGTACAGTTAGTCCAGTTGCTTCCTTTTTGCTCTTTTCAGCAATAACTCCTTCACGCCAGCTGAAGCAACATGGAGACAAGAGAATGAAAATAACATAAAACACTGTATGTGAGGAACAAGGTATGAGATAGAAGGCCACAAAGTGTTTGCATATGATCTCATCCAGTATTTGTATTTTTCAGTCACTTATGTCATATTCCATAGCACTTCAACAAAATCAAATGTTCATCATAAATAATTCTTATAGCACTTGCCTAGTTAAAAGTTTCTGTTTCTTTATGGGCTTAGTGGTTATCTTACCATCTCAATATTCAGTCAGTGAAATTATTCTACTCAAATATTTCAAACTATGAAGCTCTCACTCTGCTGACATCCTCTTAGGCACTAGACAGTCTTTAATAGATCTTAATAGCAACCTACCCCCAAGAAGAATATACTTACGAAAGGTGCAGGCTAATATGGAAAAGGGAAGCACATTCACTACTAATCATGTAATGTATCCAAATTCCTACTAATTGTACATGGAATTAAACAGGAAATAAATGCAGCTAGTCCCAAATGGCTTTTATGTAGATATTACAAGTTTTATTGGGAACAAATTCACAACCAATGACCACCAAACTTAATCTGCTAAGCATTAATTAGAAGATGCTATCATATCTTAACCTGTGTCATCAGATAAACCATCTGCTTACCAATTTTGAACCCATGCATCAACTTTGTCTCCAACAGACCAATTGTAGTCCTTGGCAGCAGCTCGACGTCTCTTCCTTGTTCCTTCAAACTGCAACGCTGTCATATCATGGGGTATGCGCACTTTTGGTGCCTGACCGTCTTTGGCTTCTACTGATACCCACTCCTGCAGTTGTGCAGACCCTAAAAACAAAAGCAATTGTGATGTGACATCGGGAAAGTAAACACACAACATAAATGATGTTCTATCTGCAACCTCCCTTTCTACTAAAGGTCCAAAAGTAATTTCCCGATCTATGGCAGTTACTGGCATAGCAACAATGAAACAACATGATGACCAAACTCTAGTGATACGATCACATAATTATCTTGATGAGTGACTAATTCTCAGTCTTGTTCCTTTTTAGTTTTCTATTCAAAGGAGTTCTATCTATTCTGACGTCACAAACCAATTCTCAATTTAAAGAAGGAAAAACACACACGCCAATTAAAGAATCTTTAAGGAATTTGCAAACGTAGAAGCAGCATGGCTTTCAATGCCTGGAGAACACAGCTATTAGATCCCTAGTTAACATACACATATTAGTAACTGACCTTCAGCAGATTGTAGCCCATTATACGAAACAAGGGCTTCATTATCCTTCAAACTCAGTACATTAGCTGAAAACCAGGCCTTCTTCGAATCACCACAATCTTTTAGAACCTGCAATGTCAAGTAGTAGAAATTTCTATCAAATGAAATGATAGAAATTAAACATGCCGGTTATATACATTGTTTTGACACTGGAGAGGAAGTTCGTGAAAATATTAATTACAGAAGACCCAACAACATAAAAGTCTCAAACCTCTACATAGGAACCCTCTTTAATGCTTGATAAGACATGTGAAGTCGATCTTGACTCGATATCGGGGTGAGAAATACCAGGAGTATTAGCCGAGTTGGATACTTTTTCATCTTTTCGAAGTTTAAAGTTCTCCCAATGCTTTCCCGAGTCAATAATGTTCTCTTCTACGGTGACATGATCATCCACCACATTTCCAGATAACTCTTGAACGGGTTGCTCAACATCACTTGCAATGTACATATCCTTATCAGGTTCCTCAAGTCGGTTCAGACAATCTTCGGGCACCTTCCCAGCATTGCTAGAGCTAGATTTATTCTTCTTGTCATTAGACTTCAGACCAGGCCCAACACCCACCTGCGGTACTTTCCAGTAGTTATTTGGCCCGGCTTCTGCAAGCCCGCTCAGGGAGAACGGTTCGCCTAAGGAGACAATCTTCCCAGCATGCGAAACTGCTTCTGCAGCCAATTCTGCTGCTTTAACAATGGCATCAAGATTTTCAGCATACCTTGTGGCAGCTGAAGCAGCCTCAATCCTTTTCTTAGCAGCCTCTCTTGCAGCAGATATCGCTAAGCCAGGTGCATTGTTAGAATCCCCGCCCCTCAAAATGGAGTTGGGAGATGCATTCACCAAATTAACGTCATGTCCAGTAGAATCCACAGCTCCAGACGTGTTCACTGCTTCATCGGCCATTTGTTTTGCTTGGAATGCAGCAGTTGATGCAATTTTAGCCGCCGCAGCTGCTGCCTTAGCAACAGAAGCAGCAGCTGCTATAGCAACAGCAGCAGAGGCTAATTTATACTGAACATCTGATGTCAAGCCAGCTTGTTTTTGCTCACCCAACTGGTTCCATACACCTTCACATTGGCTAATTGCAGCAGCAGCTTGGGTGGCAGCTTCCTGCGCTTGTAACTTAGCCTCCTCAACCTTGCTGCAATCCTCGATATTCTGTGCCCTCTTATCAATACTCAGATCACCTCCCTTGGGTTGGTAATTGGCAATTGATGGTGAGACCACAGGGAAGAAATGATAGGGAGAGCCCTTTTGCACAAAGCTAGAAGGGGTTGCCACAGCAACCGATGTAGAATAATGACTACTAATAACATGTGTATGCATCTGGTCTCCTTGATATCGTGCTGTGGAAGGGAACTGACTAGGAGCCTCAACTGCAGGGCCTTTGTCCGACAACGGACTAGCTACTACAGGAGCAGAGGCATTGTGTACCAAAGAAGGGGTCACGGATAACCTTACAGCATCCTCAGCACCAGAAGACTTTTTCCTCTTCTTAGTCTTTGCATCAGCAGTTTGTCCACTTGATGCTTTCAACATTTTCAAGTCAACTGAAGGAGCCTCAGCATTAGTAGAGACAATGGTATGACTAGTAGAAATAGCAGATGCATAACTCGTACTGGCGGAAACAACTGGGATTGATTCTTCGTTCAGAGCTAACTTTACAGGCTCTTTCATGCCTGGAAATGCAGGGTAAGTAGTACTGATATCATAAGGAGTGGTTTGTGAAGAGGTGAGCCAGGGTACTGGGAAAGGAGCCTGTGATGACCAAGTAGTATGTGGCGCATAGTTCCGTACGGGTGGAGTCTGATAAGGGTTGAAGGGAGTACCGGTCAGATAATCAATAACAGCACTTCTGGAGGTGCTGCCTGGCGCCAAAGCTTCGGCAGATGGTGTAGATACATTCCACAAGGGTGACGGAAGAGAAAGCATCTGGTTAACAACAGGAGAAGGAATGGGCTTTTTACTTGCTCGACCAGACATAGGGGTAAAAGCTTCAATTTCAAGGAAATGTTGACTGATGGTTTGATCTTGTGCTTTTGGACCTGCATCTTCCAATGGGAATCCATCATTAGTCACTGTACTGTAAATATAAATACTCAAAAGCATGGTACATACCTGATAGTAATGACACTGGTGTTTCAGTATTTTTGACATTGGATTTTTGACCATGAACCCTTTCAACACAAGCACACCAAGAAGGCCCCCAAACGCTCCTGCCTCCATCTTGTTTCAGAAAGGAGAAGTGGGGAAAGGAGAAAAAAAAAAAAAAAAAGTCGTGAACTTTCAGTTCAGCAGCAACATGCATCCATAAATATGTAAATATACAAAGCTCAGAGTAACATAATATCTTGTATGTTGGTAGCTTGGTGCTTGCCTTCTCACAGCTAAAAGCCTAAAATAACATATAGCTTCTTTTCATATTGAAATTTATTTTAGTTCTCGCACTCTCTCTATCACTATTCTTACACGATCATTTTAACAGCTGTAGCAGGGGCATTTAAAGTGTATGGAAGTACCAAAAGGGAGATTGGAAGCATGAAGAAAATTCAAAAAGTACAAGAACAAATAGGGTGTAGTTAGACATTTTACAAACTTTTTTGTTTATGTAAAATACTGTTACACATGATTATGGAACTTGTTTAGATATTTCAGTTCCATTCGGATCTGTGACTAAGAAAAGCTGCGTTCATCTTGTGTTCAAAGAACTTAATTTACTCTGCAATAATATGTATGCATGGTTTAAGTATCTTCTGGAATTAAGGAAAAAAAAATACAGTTAAAATATAGAAAGAGGAGAACATAAAGAACAGCGGTTTAATGATCAAACTTAAATAATAAAACACAACATACTTGATCATTGTAAACAATATGCGTGTTTGGATTATTTATTTATTTCTATTACTACTTCGAAGTCCATGGCAAATGGAGCTGGAAGAGTCATTGTTGACAATTCTCCTGGCATAGTGCTAATAATGGACTAGATCAAAATGGCTCAATTAAATTCTAGTGCTTCTTCTATTAGTGAAGTTTCTAGAAAAAAATATATCAAACGACGCAATGCACCTTGGGTCGCTACGGAAACAGCCTCCTTGTATAATTACAAGGGTAAGGTCTGCGTACAACTGACCCCCCACTGACCCCCCAGACCCCAACATGTTGGGAATATACTGGGTATGTTGTTGTTGTTGTTGTTTCTGTTACTACTTCGGTACAAAAAATTTGATGTAGTCGAGGGAATTGCCCTTTTCCAAGTACAAAACAAGAAAAAGAAGAAAAAGTACTTGAATATGACTTTTTGCAGGTAAAGAAAGGTGATGGATAATGTTCAACGTTTCAAGTTTCCTTAGTAACACTAATTATATATATATATATATATATATATATATATATATATATGTATGTATGTATACACACACATGCTGTGTGTGGGGAGGAGAAGAGATATAACATGCAGGGAGACAGAGTAAAACATACCGAAGGCTGACACCATACAAGCCTCATCAGGGGCAGTTCCTTGGCTGCAGCAAAGAAACAAGGTTCAGGACAAAACAGATGATAAATAAACATAATAGCATTGCAAGAAAACTTTCAAAAGTTAATGCAAAATATCTATTTACTTCTAGTCTTCTAAACAAATCTATCATAAGTTAAAGTATCTTGCACTGTGCTAAAGTACGTAATAAAGATCAAACTTACATAAGAGATCCATAAACGAAGATTTGTGCTCGCAGTTGCACTTGTTGTAAATCTGTAAAAGGCTGCTGGAAGAATGCAGGTGATGCAACGGAAGAATTCAGATCAGGCAAGCTGGATGTAGGAATAGGAATAGGTCCCCTTGCCTTGTAAGCACTTTCAAAATTCACAAGTTGACTGGACTCTAACGGACTCAAAAAATGGGATGATTTCTCCCATTTCTCAGGCAGCTGTCCCAAAGGAGTCGCTTCTTTCACCTGATTTCCCTTATTTGCACTTGCCTTACCAGATTTACCACTAGCACGTCTTGTTTTACGCTCTGAGGGACCTTTGACAGATTTGGATGGAGGTGTTAAAGATCTAACATGAGAAACTTCCTTCACCGCAACTGGATCTGTGAGGTTGCTACCAGATGTTGAAGGTGATCCTCCACCGGTCTTCAGCGGAAATAAATAGCAAGAACGTTTACACTAAATCAAATAAACCCAACAGCACAAAGTAAATGAGTAATTAACTAAAAAATGGCTGAGTGTAAAGAGTACCAGAGACAGTTTACAAGCTTGAATTTTGGAAAATGATTGGGAACCCTTGCCAGAACCTCCTGTTGAATGAACCCCCATAAGCCTGACATCAAAAGTAAAGGTTCCCTCTTCTTCAGTCGAAACATTTACTACAGAATTCTCTGCTTTTCTTACGATTTTACCAATATCTTCAACATCATCTTGTTTAAGAGGTGCCTGATTGTTTATCAGGCTCTCTGGATGACCAGTACATCTAACGCCAGTTGGAGCAACCAGGTCAGGCTTATCCATTTCCATAGAACAGCTGGCAACTGCAATCACACCAACTGCAGAGCTTAAGTTAATAGGACTAAGTGGTAAATAACGTAAATAAAAAAATAAGCTTGCAAATAGAAATCATTGAAGCTGCAGAAGCTTAAGATTGCATGAAAAGTTGCCTACAAAACAAGATATAATGCAGACAATTTGAGGTCATGACTCATGAGTAAAGATGGTCAAGTTTTAATTAGATACAGAAAATTAACTATCCACAAATTTTATTATGCAGCAAGAAGTTTATTTCTTAAGTAGGCCTTATTCCGTTATTAGCTAGCAGTCAGATGGCACAAAGATAATGCCCCTATGATTAACCCCCTCGTCTCAGCTCGCCGAATTAAATAATGTTTATCTGAATTCTGATCTCATCAAATTTAATTTATGTAGCACAACTGGAGGAAAGTGACCAATAAAATTCTATGGAGAATGGAGTTGTGACTTCACTTAGTATGTCTGCAGGTCAGCAAAGAAGGAAATTGCAGATATGCCATACCCATTATTGACTTGGAAATGTCCACTTAAAATTTCATACCCCAAGTCATATTAGATTGGAGCAGCATAAGTTTGTACACTGAACTGCATACACACGTTTAATTTGCAATTATTACAAATTTCTAGGCAGCTTTTGTATGAAGTAAAAAATGCAATTTCGCATTTACATGTTCAAAATGTCATCACAGATTCACAGCACAGTACACGATAACAAGTTACAAAATGCAAACTATACCTGAGTCAGGCTCGCCTATTAGTTAGGTTAATTGGGTACAAGCGGGGTTCCAAAAAGACATTATTCTATGATCTGAACCAACTTTTTATGTTTCTTCTGCTCATTTTTATTAGAAGAATTGGCTGTTCATTGTAAGTTTGCTCTTACCTAAAAAATTTATGCTCTAGACTTTCCATAGACAAGACAATTTATGTCAAATAGCTAAAAGATTGGCGCTCATCTTACAGCACCCTGGTATAGTTATAAAAAGAAAAAGGATGGTAGCACCAAATAATATTACATAACGGTCTTTTGATTATACAAAATAGTAAGCGCAAAATTATACCCTAATATTTTTATGTTATACTCGTTTTGAGAGTTCGAGGGAGGGGAATGGGAATGATAATCAAAGTAGGTGGTTAGGTACACACCACTATAACTTTAATTCCCCAATATAAGGACATACTCCATACCCCTCACAAATGAGGGTAACAAACCCATAGGCTTTACTTTCAAAGCCGTCTTTTTCCCATTCCTTTATTTTCAAGCACCCCCTTAATAGATTCCTTTATTTTCAAGCACCCCCTTAATAGAGTACTTGGCACAAAAAAATAATAATAATAATAATAATAATAATAATAATAAAGAAAAAAATAATAAATCAATATGTGCCAGATAATCGTGGAACAGTATTATCTGGCCTGTATGATGATGACAAACGCAGCAACTCAAAACTGCGAAAAATATGCTAGACTAAGAGAAGTGAGTGTCAAAACTGCAACCAGTAAATCATTTTACTAAAAAGGCAACATGGTATCGAAAGATAAAAGACCGTTCACCTGACACGGTAGAAGGATAATCTCCCGAGTTTCTTCCCGCTTCTCCCATCGCCATTTCAGTAGGTGCAGCTACAACATTAATATTTTGCGCTGTCGAGTCACTGAAAGAAGTATCCATCTTTTCAGGCAACTCCTTTAGACCTCCAGCAGATATGGTATTAGAAGGCTCTACCAAAGGAAGAGATTGATCACTTCTCTTTACTATTTCCCTTGTTTTAACGTCAACCAGTGAACCCTTGTCAGTTTCAAAAACAGGGGTAAGCTCACTTGACTCCTTATGGCCTTCATCAGGCACAGCACCACTAGAAGGCTCAACCAATACAAGAGATTGACCCCTTTCCTGTGCTTCTCCGGTTTCAGAATCAGGCAGTATACCCTTTTCAGTTTCAAAAGCATGGGTAAGCTCACTTAACTCCAGGGGTTCCATTGAAACTGAAGCAATTGGTTGAGTTTCTTTACTCTGATCCCTCGACGTCATATCACAAGAAGGTGCCTTATGCTTGTCGCTGTCAACTAACTCATCACCTTCAGCACACGATGATGTCAGCTTTGTATCTTCAGCCTCTGTGTTTGATGCTGCAATGCAGAATAAAAGGCAGTAGAAATTAAAAAGCACATAAAGAAAGGATTGTAAGATTTCCATGGATCATCATACAATATTGTGTAAAGGAATTGAGATAAATAATAGAGCATAAGGCCAGTCATACCTGGACAAGCCTCGGCGGGATTATTGAGCAGTGATTTAGTAGGTGTACCAACATTAATTCCTTCACCTGAAAAAGTGGACACTTCGTTTTCATTTCCATCGCCGGACACATCACCTGAATCAAAAGGCAACTTCTTGATATCTGTTTCAGTGATTGGAAGATCCAGGTCATTTTCCCGGGCATCCAACTGCATAGGGGTGGTATCTTCTGTGCCTGTCTTCTTGCTCCCAGCTACCAGAGGAAGGGCAGCATGATCCACCCAGTCCTCCAAATTCTCCTGCGCTGCAGCAGTATCTCCAGCACCACTCGTATCATCATTCACCGACTTTTTCCCACAAGAATCACCCTCTACAGGGTAAGCTTGACCATCCTCATGATTGCTTTCACCAACCTTATCAGAAGAATCGCAAATTGCCTCAGAAGTAACACGTGGAGTCTCGGCAGAGCTATGAGTTCCAGGTTGAGTATCTTCACTACCAATTTGAGTCGGGTTATCATGAGGTTGGATAGCAGGTGCCTGATTGGGCTCAGTATCTCCAGAGACAGTAGAGGTAATAGCATCGCTACCTAGCACGTCTAGGCGCTCAATAGCTTCTCCCTGAAGGGAGATAGATGACTCATGAAATGGGCTACAGCCTTCAGACTTCTTAATATCTGTGCTTTGTGCAAAGACCGTTGTTCTACGATGACTGTCACCTGCAGCAACAAATCCAACCTCATTGCACCTACCTTTTGTGGACACAGACTCGCCGTCTTGCGTTACAGTAGGAACGTCGGCAAAATTAGCAACACAAATTTGAACCAAGTGCTCTTCTCTTGAAAATTCCATTGGTGAAGGAATCTCATGGGAAGAATGGCACTCAGTAACTTCAGTTTCAGCACCCAAATTCCCTTCATTTTGGTTGCAACCTTTCTCTTGTTCCTGAGAAATGGCATGTGCTACATCACTTGAACTTACAACACCAACATCACTGAAGTTATCCTGGTCAACGGAATTCATAGCACAAGCAGCAACATTCTGGGGAGAATTTTCAATTTTATCATCAGTTAGACTAACAGGGACAGTTTCTTGTTGCACGTGAGTGAACAGAGATTCATTCACCAAACCACAAGTTTCTTTTTTATTATCACAAGCTATCTTCAATTGAACCTCCGAAGTTTCAGAGTTCAGGGAGACAAATCCTTTGTTTCCATCACCAGCTACTCCATAACAAGAAACATTTGTCCCCCCAGCATGTACAGAAATCTCAGTTTGAGCGCCTTCTACTTCATCACTCTGATTTGACCTCGAAATATGCCCCTCAACTTCAGCAGGTGATATTGAAGAATCTTTCAAGTCATTAACATCATCAATTGTATTATCCTGCCCCACGTTCTCCATTTGTCTTGTTGGGCTACCCAACATGTCACCTGGCTCTGACTCTTTCATCAAATTTTCACCCGGCACCATTTCTTCTTGTCCAACTGCCTTCAACAACATTTCAACAGATTCGGAAGATGTTGCCTCAGACCAGACATTGACGTGCCTTGGCAAAGCACAAGATTCTGTTGCACTCGAGCTGAAATCTATTCCACTGCCTCCCCGTGAAAAATCCTCAATCCAATGATTGTCTTCTTGACTTGGAATACCAAGAAAAACTTCGTTTTCAACTAAACTATCAAATCTCAAATGACCTTGGAGACTGTCATCAAAATCAAACTTAGGAAGAGCAAATGGTCGCAGGACAGAAGAAAATTTAGAATTCTCTTCACCAGCTAAGTGAAGATTGTGGCCTTCATGGTCATTGTCATTATAATCCATCGGAGTATACCTAGAAAGTACATGGAAGGAGGAGGACAAAGAATTATTGAAAAATAGATATACCCAGGTCTAACTATGGCAATATGAAACATAACAGAAAGCAGAATAGTAGCATTCAGACCAACCATGAACATCCAACCACCAAAAAAAAAGGCAAAAATACTTTCAGCAAAACCATAGATAACAGTTTGTTCACAATTAACAAAACATGCACCTGCCCAAAACCTATGTTTTCTCTACAAATTAGACCTAAACTAGATGGACCTCTAACCGATGAGAAATTGCAGTCAATACTTGCACCAGACTTGACTTGGAGAATTTAGAAGTACATCTGCATTTCCGAAATCATTTCAACTCATCCGCAGCATTAAGTATTTCTCATTGACATTGTGGATGTCAGTTTTTTCGCGCAAGAGAAAACACCAATAATCACAGTAACTGGTTTTTGGAGTACAATACTAAATTAGGATTAAGAAGCTATGTTTCTGGAATTAAGATGGTTGAAGAGTTTGACAGGTTGTTTTGTAAATGATGTGGCAGTGTATGGCCCACAAAGAAACCTGTTTAGGGGCATTAAAATTGTAGGTGCCCTCGGGAGAAAATTTAATATGCATTCATTCCTATATTGAAATAGCATGGATCCAGGAACGCTTCGTCTTGAAGCTAACAGTGCAGAGACAATCACGATATTTAACAATTTTATTCCTACACACTGTTGATGAAATTTAATCAAAAACAGAATTCAAAAATCACTTTTTGCCAGCATTTGCTTGACACACATTGACATTTCTCCACTGTCTGCATAATATTATGAATTTATTTCATGCATATGAGCAAGAAAGGGAACAAGTTTCTAGCAGAACTTTCAATACGAGCTCAATGAATTGAGTTTAATTTCATAAGCCAGTTAAAAAAAAAACAAACAAACCAAGGATCCGAAATTCATTCGATTACAGATAAACAGAAGAAGAGCAGCTGACTCGTGCAATAAATGTCGAATAAAAAAGTAAGTCAGGAGATAAATATGCTAAAACGAACTCTCTGCAGAACCACAATCACATCAACAGAAAAGCCCAAACTAAAACCAAATAGAAACCCTAAAAATGTACCGTGGAGGTGTAAAAATATTAACTTATTTATCTCTTCCACAAAAACCCAGTTCAGTTATTAGTGACACCCTGAAGACAACAGCTCTTCCCACTACTAAGAACAAATTAGCCAACACCACCAACATATTTAGCAAAGCTATAACCCACTGCCCTCAAATACCCCACTGGTTGACAACAAAAATTCAAAAATTCAAA